TTTTTTTTTTTTTTTTTTCGGAACGATAGAGATGTTATATTACTAGCACAAAAGTGCAAAAAACAGTCACCGACTGAATACAACACAACTAACAGCTGAATAGAAACAACCAACGACTAAAAAGAGAGAGGACAGGTCACAAGACCGCCTATAACCGACCCCAGCAGGGTAATAAAAACGAAAAACACAGAAACACTACTAACAAACAAATATAAAGACTCCAACAGAGTAATGCCCGAGTGCAGATCCCAACAGGATAATAAAAGCACAATCGGGCTCACTGAGGCCAACGGCCCAGACCAAAAAACACAATAAAACAACACACAAGACTACTAAGCTACGAACAAAACGAAAAGGCACAAACTAAACACAGGATAATAAACGAGCCCTTCCTAAACTGCTACACCTAACCGAACCAGCGGACACAAGCCGACCACGAACCCCGAGGCCAGAAACACCGACCCCGAAATTGCGAAATTGCCTAACAGATTCGAAGCCTCAACCCTGAAATCGCAGCAGGCATACCCGCACCACGGCCCAACACCCAAAATTCATATTAATCACTTTTTAACTAAAATATAAAATTTAAATGTTAGACTTGAATAGACCTGAAATCTTCTTTGTTCCTCCTCATAATAATCAAATTAAGTAATTAACTCTCAATCTTTACCAAATTACCAACCTTTTATCATAAGTAGGGCTGCAAACGAGTTTAGTGGTTCAAGAACGCTCGATTCAAAGCTCGACTCAAGCTCGAGCAGCTCGAGCACGAACTTGAGTCGAGCTCGAGTTCATATTCTGCATTGTCGAGCGGATCCTCGAACGGCTCGATATATATATATATTAAATTATTAAAATATCTCTTATATATATTTAAATAGTATAACACATGTGCTTAATGTTAATTTTACTTTTTCACTTCAAAATTTTCAAGTCAAACTCGAGCCGAGTTCGAGCTATTGTATTTTCTTATCAAGTTGAGTTCGAGCAGCTAAAAAAAAAAAAAAAAAAA